ATGATCTGATTCAGAGGAGAGTGCTCCTGGGACGGCACAAATGGTCGACTCGCTCGAGATTATATGTGGTCATATATTAGCGATATTGCTCAATGGTCCACAAAAAACACCACGCCCGTGTTGCCCTTCGAGTCTTTCGGCAGACAAAACAAAAATTCCATACTCATGGACTGCCAACACCTGGAGGGTACCGATAAACTGGCTACCGGCGCCGCCACATTCGGAGAGGGGTTCTTCCTCTAACAAGTCCCACACGTGCGCACATATGTGCTCGTCCACTAGTATAGCTAAGACCACCAGTAGTGGCAACTCACAGAGCTGTACGTCTTCACACGACCGGGACGACCACTGAGTGGAGTCTCGTGGGTCTCATCGAGGATACGGTATTTCAAATCCTCATCGCGAGGGACCAAAAACTCGTCAAATCAGTGTTATAATACAGCAGCCGGAATTTAAAAATATCGGTGTAACCGTGCGCGCATTCGCGTCGACAATTTCTTGTCCGAGTTTCCAGTCCCTTGCTCCCGAGAGGCTGTAACAGCGCTACACACATACTCGGCGCGGATCAAATCCGTCACAGATGATTTCACCGTCGTGACATGAGCAAGCTGACGCATGGTCTGTCTAGATCACTAACGGTTTTGAGCCAAGCACGTGCACTCTGACTTTGCCAAGTGCATACCTCATCGCAAGTATTCACTAGTCGTGGACTGGGTAGTTCCTCTCCGCAGCCTTAAGCTGGCGAATCTCGAACGCGTTCAACCGATCACGCCCCTCGGCGTCTACTTGCAGTAGTGCACAGCCGATGGAAAAGTCTGATGCGTCACAAATGACACTCAAAGAACAATTGGGGTCTGGCAAAGCAAGTATTGGAGCATGAAGATGCTGTCTTTGTCAAAAGTTCCCGCATCCTTCTTGAGGAGATTCGACAATGGCTAAATTGCAAAATCTGCGATATACTTGTGTAAGTAGTTGGCGAGGCCAAGCCAATTGCGCAAGGCCTTTTTCTTCTTTGGAACCGGTCAGTGCACGATTGCCTTGACCTTAGCGAGATTCGCTCGAAGGCCCCGCTTTCCAATGATGCGCCCTACAAGAGGCTATCTTCGGCGGCGAAGATGCACTTATCTGCATTATCATACAGCTTATTCGTGCCCATGCACTCGAGCACCGCTCTCAAATGGACGATGTGCTTTTCCTCATCCGTTCTCCCGTGCTCCGCGCAACTGGGGACGAAGATGTCGTCAAAGTATGTTTTTTTATACGCCCGGTGGAGCCTCAACATCCGCGTCACAAGACAATTAAATGTTGCTGGTGCATTTGACAGCCCCTTGGAGCATCACCAGCCACTCCCATAGCATCCCACTCGGAGTATCCACTGTCAGCAGACTATCACTCGCTTCCATGAGCAATCGATAATATTAATCAGCCAAGTCGAGTGCACTGTTGTTTGTACTGCCAACCATATTGTTCTGGAAAATATCCTTCCTAGAAAGCGGCGTCTGTGCCGGAATGGTGACAGCGTTTAACTAAGCGTGAATGTTACGCCACTTTTTCTAACGGCTTCCGGACACTAAAGTGGGTGTCAAATGGGGAGAATTGATCTCACGCACCATTCTAGCGTCGTGCTCGCACGAAAAAAGTCGTCAATGACATCACACTGCTCCTTGGGCAAAGGATATTGGTATGTTACGTAATATTTGGTATCCGAAACCAGGTCGATCTCATGACGTACACCTTGGTTCAAAGGTAGGACCGACGGCGAGTCTTTGGGGACGACGTCTTGAAATTCTTTTACCAATAAAATACGGATCCGAGGGATCCTTCAGGATCAAAAATCCACTTCGTGCGTTTTAAGGAGAGATAACCGGGATCATGTAAAGTAGAAATGGTAATGTCCTCCAGGACAGCTTCATCCAGAAGCGACGACAAGTAAATGTTCTCGCTCGTTCTCATAATGACCAATTCGGCTAAATTGCCTGCTTTCAAGGCACCGCCCAACTCCTCAAAGGACATCTCGTCCAGCTTATAAAGAGTATCCACCGCGGATAGCCTCGAAGGTTACGTCTCCATCTTCCTCTCCCGTCATACTGTTGACAAGGGGTATGTAGCTGTGCACTATCGACTACGGTAGACACACCCTGGGTCAGGGTCGACGTCCTAAGTCTTGCAGATAACATACGGCATCGCCGTCTACTTCTCATCGAGACCAGTGGAAACACGCGCTCAGCGTCGTTCAGTGTCCCATTTTCCCTTCTTCATCGGAGCCTTGATGTTATTAACAACATCCGACATAAGGCTGCTATTTCCGCAGTCTTAGCCCAGTTTTAATGTACCACTCCACGTTTAGCCCGCGAGCCATGAGCCATGGATCGATTGGAGGTCAAAAACCTTAGGCGCAACACACACGTCTTCTGGTGGAGCTTTGGTGAGTCATGAACCCACCTCTGCTAGGAAGTAGAAGCGCTATTGGCGCGGTCACGTGACCAGGACGTTCAATGTGCTGAATATCGGAGTATCCCACCCCATGGCTAAGCAAACAGTAGCGGTGTCGCTCGATTGCACTATCAGCGCCTCAGCACACAGCTGACTTTCTTCGATTTTGGAGCGTGGAGAAAAATTGCCTGGCTCCTTGGAATCGATCAGGATCTTCCATGGCTTTTCAAAGCTCTTCACGGTCGCCTATACGGCCAGCACCCACGTTCCGTATTCAAGAACACGAAGCTCTTTGCCATCTACCTCTTTGATGCTCAACAAACCCAGTTTTTCCCGAGTAGGGCTCCCCGCGCCTACTGGGTTTCCTCGTTTTCCCGCGCTAAACCAGACTGGTTAGAAGTGGGACGTCAATTAGACGAACGTTTACGCTCCTTGCGCAGGGGACAACCAGTCCGAAGATGACGGGTGCCTCCACAGACAAAACACCGTCAGTTGTTCAAACGCTGCTCAACAGCTCGGAGCTCTCACTCCTCTTCATCAGCATAGCTAACATCCATAGGCTCAAGCCCGCTCGACGAGCTTTGAGGGTGTGCATTCCAACCAAGTTGTGCCGGGTTGAAGTTGAATTTGACATTTAAAGTCACGTTAAGCGCTTCGTTGAATGAAGACGGATCTACTCGTTGCTTCGTGCTTTCATGTCACAATTGGTTAGCGCTCGTGCTAGAGGCACTGCAATGCAGTTTGTATTTGCTGGAGTCGATTTTAATGTTCTAGGCTGTGCTCAGTGTCTTAATTTTATTGAGAGTCTGACTAGAATAAATTGCCAGTTGTATGGCCCATCCGATGGTCTATGAACTTAGCGACTTCCAACAAAAGGGCCTCTTACTCTCGTTGTTGAAGCCTCACTAGATATAGCGTGGTCTAAGCGTCTGATGAAATGGATACCGGAGCTGTATGTTGAGTACGTCGTCAGTATGAAACCTCAAAAATTGGCTTGTCTGTCGTGTTATTCGTGATCAATACGCCACTTTACTTCATCTTGTTCCTTAGTATTATCTTTCTCGAGTATGGCGTAATTAAACTGGTGAATACTAAAATTTTGCTGTGCAGATGACGCATTCGCATACATTGCCCTCCCGTTTCTAGGTGACCTGGTGATAAATTTTGGCTTCGGTCCAAGATGTATCTCCTCATTTCTGTTGGTTTGTTCAAGGTTGTCAACGTATACAGACGACTTCTTATACCGTTGTGTATCAGATTGTCCTTTATTGTTATCTGCATTATCGGATTACAACGCTGCTTGAGCTGCACGAATATATGCTAGTATTATACAATCTCTTCGCTGCTAATTCGACCTTCTCCATCGTGATGCCTTCTTATCTAGTCGAATACCGAAACCTTTTAATTGAGCGTCCGTGTATCGGTATTTCCACTTTGTATGCCCGATGTTAAGTACCTCGTGCACTTGGGTGATTCAGCAGTTATTATCTACCAAACCATCTGATCCGTATGATACTGCTTAAAAATTTCGCTCACAATGATGTATGTATTGTTAGGCGACAGATTTCTGAAGTCTTCGATTAAGGCTGGCAAGTGTCTAGATCGCCCAACTCAAACTTTGAAGATATGTAATGCCTCGATCCGCCTTATGTATATGAGCCTCGTGACATTATTGATGTCTACCTCCTTTTGCCTATGAGGTGATCTTGTCATTCCGTCCCGCGCCAGATTTCGCGTTCAAACCGACCCGTACCATGCCCATGGACGTTTTCAAGACAGAAGATACTTCAATTGAATGCAACTTGTACATCTTGACATTGACGAGCTGCGACTCGGTCAAAAAAGAAGAAATGGAGACTCCGTTGAACATGATAAAGCTGATCGATTTAGCTAGACTGAGCATTTTGCGCCGGTCTGGCGTATTGTCTTTTATTGCTTCCGCTTAACTCGTATGTCTTCTTGAAGCTTACTTTTGTTGTCGGCTTTCGTGATTAATTTTTCTTCTCCGCAGCTGCAATATTAGCTCTCCATCGACTTGAAATTTGGTGCAGATGCGGACGTCTTTATATAGAGAATACATTTCAGGAGGCTTGGATTCTTACGACAAATGATTGTTTCTTCAGCCATTTCCTTGATGATTCTCCACTCATCTTAAGTTCCGAATCGGAATAATCTGCTCCTGCCTGCTGCCGCCTGCTCTCCACAACGTTCTCGAAGTCCCCTGATTTCCTGGCTCTTGAAGATGGATGGGCCAAACATAACGTCCTGGTATCTTGCTATGTTTGATGTCGTTTTTGTTTCTCTCACTTTAGAGTGTTCTATTGTCTTGGCTTTTGCTGCCATTGATTGGTTCGGTATCAGCTTAATTTCCTTTGCTGATCGTAGCGTACAAAATAACCTTTTCTTTAAGGGTGTTTTCGTTGTAAAGAGTTTTTGTGTAGCTGCAATTGCGTAGCATTTCGGTCCTGAGTAAATGAATTATTCGAATAATCTTGAAAAATTGGGCCTTCTCTTCGCCTTTCAAGTTGGCTACCTCCGTTTTACGGACAGAATAACTCCACGTGTGCACTGGGTGATGTTATGCAGCTCGCAGATCGTCATAAATCATGCTGTTTGCGGCTAATCGCTTTCCACATTCTTCATGTCCTCGACTACTGTGTCGAACGTTTCTTTGGGCGGTACATGAGATGTCACTCGCCTACTGCCGTCGAGAAAGTCATACTGAATTCGTTTCTACTCTTTGTGGTACTGCTTATTTTCGCTGCTGCTCGACTGTGTCTTTTGTCGATTAGCTACTACTTCTTCTTCGTCGCAACAGACTTCATCGTCACCCATGCCAGCTTGGTCGACCTCGGACTCCTTATGATCATAGTCGTTAGCTGCGCTCTGCAATTTCGTCGTCTAACTGCTGCGATTTCAGTACTACGGGGTCGTGGCTTAGCTTTAATCCTCTTGTTCAACTGTCTTTACAAACAACCTGAAGGGGGTCTAGATTCCTTCAAGGTCCTCCAGAGCCTTCGTGTTGAAAGATTCGTTCGAAAGATCGCAATTCAACTACCTAGTGATTCTAAGTTTAGACTGGGTACAGCACAATCTTTCGAACGCCACTGGTCTGCCGGGGCTTTGCTGCGCGCGCTGCTGTTTCGAAATTATTGCTAGAAGCTAATGATGGAGAAAACTTCAAGCACCTTGTTGTCTGAATAATATATTTGTGCACAACACATGACACAGAAGAAGTGGGCAACAATATTTTGCTTCTCACCTCATTAAAATTGACCTCTCCGATTAGGAATTTTAGAAAGTCTTGAAAACTTCTTCTAAATTGTACACAGAAAATAATACTTTTGATAAATACTACAATTTTCCTTAAGGGATGATTAAGATTTTTTGGGCGACGAGAAAAAGGAGTAAATGGACTCGATCTTCGGTATTGTCGGCAAGGATTTCGTGCTGCTTGCAGCAGACTGCAAGGTGGCCCGCAGCATTCTAGTTTACAAGGATGATGAAGATAAGGTGCGTGTATTGATGCAAATTTCGTGCCTGGACGTGCTCTCTTGATTCATCCCTTATGTAATTCTTCGTCATCTCTATTGTTAATGCCAGTCTATCAATCTCGATGATCACAAAGTCATGGTAACGTCAGGTCCTCAGAGCGATCGCTTGGCATTTGGCGAGTATATTCAAAAAAATATGAAGCTTTATGAGCTTCGTAATGGCGTGACGCTGAACGGTCCAGCTACAGCTAATTATGTGCGCGGTGAGCTGGCGCGCTTTCTGCGCCGAGCTCCATACCAAGTAAACTTGCTTATCGGTGCTGTAGACACCACTCCTGAGCAGAATGCTGAGCCTAATCTGCACTGGATCGATTATCTTGGTGCTATGGTCAAAGTGAACTTTGGTGCACATGGCTACGGTGCTCACTTCTGCTTGTCCATATTTGACCGCGAATGGAAGCCTGACATGACGCTAGATGAAGCCAGAGATGTCCTTAAGAAATGCCGCGCAGAACTTGACATGCGCTTCCTCGTGCGCAACGGCCAGTGGGCGTACACGGTACGTTTCGATTGTTAGGTGGGGACAGAGAAATATGAGACTAATACGCTAATGTTGGATGTAGCTGATTAATGCCGATGGCATTTCACAAATTAAGGTTGAGTAGATGAAATGATGGACGACATCAAACAGACAAAAGAGGAAGGGCGGCATATTAATTGGTCGTAATATTCATGTCTGATGCTGTATCAAACGTTCTTGGTACTACTAGCTTGTAATGATTTGCCTCACGTGCTTCGAGTTTTGCGCCCTTGCGCTTTCTGACGACTATTACGGTATCGACGCAGCTCCTCACTATTTTAAAGCAATGAGGTGAATCAAAGCATTGAAAAATAGTAAAACTTAGCTTACCGTTTCTGCTGTCGTGCACGATCAATGTTTGGCTCAACGTAGCTGGATAACCCTTCGATATCTTTATCGTCTTGTTCGCTTAACTCTTGTAATGTAAGTAAGTCTTTTGCTGCTTTTTCTGACGGTTGGTAGTATTCACTTGCGACCTTGATCCATTGTCTTGCCTTCTCTTCGTGTTGATCGTTAGTAAATCGATCTTGACGCCACCCTGCACTCTTGGGAACTCCAATATCCTCAAATAAATCAGCACCAGCTGGGACCCACAATGGTTTGGCTAAATCGACTTCTTTGCTCATGCCACGACCCATGGTTCGAAAAGCAAATCCTTTCATGATTGATCGAAAATGAGTCACAAGGTTCTTGTCCTTCACACTCGTGAATAAGACACTGGCCCCGTACATATGAGAGACATACCGAATTGCCTGAGTAATTGCTTTCCGCTTTATCGAGTCCTCGTCTCGAAAGGTTTCATATTTGTTGCCAATTACCAGTACTGGAATTAACAATGGTGTCACCTCGTTTTTATCTGGATGCCCGTTTCCATAGCGTGCCATAGCTTCATTTCTTAGAGTGTCAACCGCGAGTTTATCGACCGGATTTTTCTCTTTAATCTTCAAAATCTCGTGCACAACTGCATAAAGTGTCGTTAGCCACTTTACTAGTGCTGGTATGACATCACCAGGTATTGAAAGATCCAGGACAATTAATAGAGCGCCATTTAAAATCCGATCTAGCCCTAGCGGCACTCTTATCATCTCACCCAAACACTTAGTACTAGCTAATTCCCACATGTGTGCAACTGCGGGTCGCCCAGCACTACGCAATCGAACAAAAACATAGTCCAAAGCAGTCGTTGGTTTAATTTCCTCAGCCTTCGAAGAATTACGGAAGGCGGCTACAAGTGAAGATTTGCCTGAACCTCGTGGACCGACAATTAGCGTGAAAGTGTCCCGTTCCTCTTGTGCTGGTGCAGCTGTAGGTTTCTCGATTGTATCAAACTCAGGTGACGTTAAAGTTGGAATCCCTGTTGTGGAAAGTATTGACCAGATATCCTTAGAGGTCATGGTTTTGACTGTGCTGCGACTGATCTGTTCGTCGGGATAGTATCCTATTCCGACTCTTCATGTGAATAGCATAAAAATGGGAGTAAAGTGCCTAGCAGTCTTTAATTTCGTGTGAGGCCTAATTTAAAAAAACTTGATGTAGATTACAAGTAGCACGAAGAGCACGACAGCAACAATTGGGCCATATTGGCGGTATATAGCCTGCATGCGTAGCTTTTTCGCACCCCACTTCAGATCCTTTGATCTGTCCGCCAAGTTAGATGAGATTCGGGAGACATCTAGCACAAATTATCATCATGAATGAAATGCACTATGCAAATATATACGAGGAACGTACGTTCAACACGTTCACCACGATTAAGGACCTCTTGAATGTTTTTGCGCATGATATTGTGGATGTCGGCTAGGTCGTCATTTAGGCGGTGCATGTTCTGCGATGAACTGGGATCGGCATATTCTTTGCGCTTCTTTTGAATGTACTTGTCTGCTCGTCCAAAACAGCATCAGATCAATAGGAAATTCAATATATACCTTGTCTACTTGTTAAAACCAACCAAATTTGATGAACGCATACGGCCGTGCGACTGTTGTGACCACGTCACGCCAGTAATTGCCGCTGTCACGTTGTAGCTCCTCTACGAAGCCTGCATGTACCTCTTCCAGATACAAAAAGGCTAAACGCTTAGGAAAGCCTCGATCTGTTAGCGTTAAGTAGCAAACCCCCTCCTGGATCAAATAGCTTTATAAAAGTCAGTAGCTGAATGATTTTAAACATCACAACTTACTGGAATGTGTATGCACCAGATTCGACACTGCATTTTGTGGGCGAACGTTGATCAAGTCGTTTCATGATCTGCTTTGCTTGTTGCTTGTATGTATCCAAATTGCCATTTGCATCGCCGATGGACTCCATAGATGCGACCTGTTGCACAAATGCATTAGTATCATTGTCCTGAACTGGTGCCTGTGATTAATCTAGCGATAACTATGCGGTTTATCTGGTAGTATATGTAGCTACATATGTGGGGTAGTGCCGTACCAGTAACATGCCGTCTGAGACGCGCGCGACGAAGGTGATGATTGGCATGATTTAGCTCTGCTTCGTGGCACTGTCTATCAACGTAGTAAATTAGACTGGTGTGTGTAATTAAAATGTCCAAATTTCTGATTTCATTAGTATGGCAACATGCCCGTTGTACACGTCTGAGCAGGTTGACAATTGTGCATTTGCCGCTTGGTATCCAAACTTTAAACGCGTATGCATCAGGGGTGAGATCGTGCGACTTCCACCTGCATTCATATCCTTGCTGCTAGCGGACGGAGTAACGCTTCCGTCGGCATCAATGATGTCCGGGATCGAAGATGATGAAGAGGAGGCGGTGAAAAAGCTTACTAACGAACAGTCTCGAGTCATTTCGAGTATAAAGGAGCAGGTAGAAAAGATTTTGAGCGACTACGGTGGTAGGCTCTTTCTAAAAACCAATTGGAGTGCGCCTCGTGATGCTTCGTGGATGCTCGGCACGCTCAAGTGCACCAGCTTTGAAGACGTAATGCTACTGCTACAATCCTCGGACTTTGTTGTCCATGACCTCACACAGCCATATATTGGCTGTTGCGATATTAACAAGGACAAATCGCCAACAGAGAGTTATTTAGTGCTCAAAAAGTGGTGCAATTTTCTGGACTCAATGCTGTTCCGATGTTTTGTCGCTGGTCATCGTCTTGTGGCCGTATCGCAGCGTAATTGTAGCGAATTCTATGAATTTTTACTAGACCAGCAGGACGACTTATGCGAATTGCTGTACAAATTTTACCAGGAGAATTTTTGCACGCGTGGAGGAACGTTCGTCTTTCCCGATCCTAACTACAACTTCGATGTGTACGTTGATAAGCGTCGACGCGTCTACCTTCTAGACATCAATGTTTTTGGTGAGATCACTGATCCACTGCTTTTCTCGTGGGAGGAACTACAAGAGTTGCAAAAAGACAACCTTGTAATGTTACGGGATCCAGAAAGTCACCATGAGGTTGACTTTCGGGTCGTCGAATCCAGGACGGGCATCCGTGCAAATCCACTGAGTGGATATCGTGCCCCCACAGACTTTGTAGACCATCTTGCTAACGGGGCTGGTTTTGATGCATTTATGAAGCAAGTTAAACATGACAACGATGACAGCAGCAGCGATCAAATGGAATAGAGACCAAGTAGTATGCATTGTTGTTAAAGAACCCGTTCGCCTGCGCTAAATTCTAATGAAACTAGCATTTACTCGTCACCTCTTTCAATAAGCTACATAAAATTGGTCTTGAAAAACTCAAATGTCATCCTGACTTCTAGTCAAGTTGTTTCACTCACTTCTAAAGACAACTAGCAATCGTTAACGCCACCATTAAGCCATCTAAGTACGCGTGCCAATCACTTTGACACCCTACAAGAATTTTTGTCGACGTTGCTAGCTGTTTAATCGTTACAGGTCGTTATTTAAGGCTTTAAAGCTCGTACGAGCCACGTGCCGAGTCGTTGTCTTCATCATGATCTGGAAAGTCGTCGCCTTTGCTATGACCACTGATCTGACTGCTCACTTCCAAATCAAGGTCGTTGCTCGACGTGACTTCGTAGCTATTACGGCTGCTGTTGCGCGAGGAGCGAGGCGATTCTTGTGCACTAAGATACGATTCATTGTCTTTCGTCTCCATTGCACTCAACCATAAATTCGTAGTATTGTCTGTAGTATGCCCGACGGCTGGATTCTCGTTACCGTTCGCTCGGTTCATCGAGCCCGGGGATGTGACGGCATGGTCATATAGTTGAGAGTACGCAATACCAGCAGCCACAGTGTCGGCTGGAGGCGTTTGTGTGTTGGACACCTGACTGGTAGCCGAGGTATTAGCTGCACCCATCGCACGCGGGTTATACACGTTCTGTGGGTTGTACATTGGTGTGGGGTTGTAACTTTTATCCATGGACAGTTCAAATGGCGACAATGGGTCGTCGTTCACCTCACGTTGCCTGCGAATGACGCACATGATGATCGTAGCAATGATGGCGACAGCGGCGACAATTCCTACTACAATAGCGACCACGGCACCTGTGCTCATACTCGATGTTGACGATACTTCTTCGTTACTACTCGAGTTCGAGCCTGCATCAGACGTCGGCGCATTTTCAGTTGGCGTCATCGTCGATGGGTCGGACAAAGTTGGTTGTGTGTTCGGTGCAGTTGGAGGTGTTACAGCGGTCGATGGCGGCGCTTCAGTCGGAGGTGCAGCAGGTGTCGATTCCGGCGTCGTGTTTGACTGCTCCGGAGTGGCAGGTGTTGGAGCAGGGATATCATTTGTTGCGCCTAATGTCGGAGGAGTTTGCGCGGGGGTAGTAGGCGATGTAGGTGGTTGCGAGGCAGGTGAGTCCGTTGGTGGTGGGTTCGTTGGTGGTGGGTTCGTTACCGGTGGGTTCGTTGTCGGTGGGTTCGTTGGTGGTGGGTCTGTAGCTGGTGGGTCCGTAGCTGGTGGGTTCGTTGGTGGTGGATCAGTTGCCGGTGGGCTCGTTGGTGGTGGGTCTGTGGCTGGCGGGTCTGTAGCTGGAGGCGCCGATGTAGGGGTGGGACTTGGCGAAGTCGGCGCCGCGGGTGTTGGGCCCGGGGAAGGGGCGGATGACGTTTCAGTGGCCGGTCCAGCCGCTGTGGATGAAGACGCCGCATCTGTAGGCGTTGCAGTAGTACCGCTGTCGCTGGTTTGAAGCTGTCTTCGCAAAGCTGGTGTCAATCCTAATTTTTGACTCATTACGGCGACAGCACGTGCTTCATCTTCATATACGGATATCCCTTGAGACGCACCAACAAAGGAAAGACTCGAGGCAGCCGCACATGCGATAGCAATCACTGACACAAACGCAGAGTCAACCTTCATAGTGGGCCGCGAAACTTTGACTGGAAATGTACAACGCTTCTACCGCAGTTGGTGAGGGTTTAAGTATGGCGCACCGCTTGGAACCGCCGATTCACGGTATGCGAAAACGACTGTGCGGACGACTGTGAGGGTGCGTTGAGGGAAAGGGGGGGATTATTACTTACTGCCAGCCCCTCCTTTTCTGTCTTCTTGTAGTTCAGAAAAACCGGTTCTTAGCGATAATCCCACTCTTGTTAATAGCAAAACCGATATCTCAAATTTGTGACCCATTTATTACGAAGTGTTTTGGTCTAACGAGAACTAATCTATACTTTAAATGTAGCAGGCAGATTTGTAGAATGCTGCTCCGTCTATTTAAACTTATTAAGCGTCAATCAGGCGGGCACCACAAATCGGCAAATTTCAATCAAACAAGAGCAAGGTTGTAGCCAGGCCCGAACTGGGCGTTTATCACACAATACAAAATTTGATGAGCTGAAAATGACCCTGAGTGATCGGTGAGGTTATCGCTTGGACACAGCTCAAAATGCTTAGATAACACTTTTACAATGCCACTTTGACTTGATATATATAAATTTAGAGGTTTTGAAGGGATAAAGGTATTATGGATGTTCTTTTTATGCATTCAAAAGAGCTCTATGCGATATTCAATCAACGACGATTAATTTGGTGAAGCCAAATCGAAATTGATGATTGCTCTGGGATGTGTAAATGATTTTAGGAAAAATTCTTTCTGCACATTCTACTGTGGGTCTCTCTTTTTATTATTATAACGATTTGAAAAAGCTCTCGATATTTCATGACATTCTAATTAAGCTAACC